CCTTCCAGTCCGCAGTTGGGATATCCGGGTTCTGACGCTGCAGCAGCTTCAGCGCTCGGTCCGCTTGATTGCGATGGGGAAGAGTACCTTCGCTTTTGGAGTGGATGGGATTAGCTCCCGGTCCACCACCTCTAGCTTGGCTCCCTCCCACAGCGCCTCCAACTGGCAGACCGCTTGCGTCAGCCACTTTATCGTCGGGTCATCCATGCACTTTAGGATTTTGACCCCATTCAGCCACCCAGCGCCATCGAAGGTGGCATGGGAGCTTCGGGATCATCCTCCATCCGTGCGTACAATGACTCAACGAGCCGCGCATGCACCAACTTCCACTGCGCCTCGGTCATTTTGCCGGCTTCATCGCTTCTGTCAATGAGGGCCACGATCAGGTGTCGTTTGGTCACCTCACTGACTTTTACGGTTTTTTGGGCTTTTTCGCCATTTGAGGAGGGCCTGCTTCCCTAGGCCCCGCGTTGCCGCTTGCTCCCCGGTGCGTCCATAGAGGCGCTTTTGCCTTTTGTTGGCAAGCGTCTCCTCCACTTTGTTGGCGACTCCGCGAGTCGAACTCATATGGCGATTTTCTCCTCAGCCCAGGTAAGCTTTGCCTTTTCCTCTGGGGATAGGGCGGCTTTTTTCTGGAGCCGATCCTGGATGCGGAGGGCAGCCTTGTACATCGCCTTAGCCTTCATTCCCTCTCTTGACCGCTTTGGCCCCTCCCTGCGCTGGGAGCTGGTGCCTGGTTTCAGTGAGTGGAGAAGCTGCACGCTCTCAAGGTCCGAGTCTGTATCGACTATGGCACGTGAGCGGCTCAACTTCCCCTGTGTAGTTTTTTCGGAAGTTGCATTGCAACTGACATGACCTGCTCCCGTCACATCAGAGGTGTAACCGCTGGCGACACGCGGAGAGGATTGCTCCCCCCGTTCCCGTGGGTGGTAGCGGTCACGCCTTCCACCAACGTTTTGGGCTGACATCCCAGCCCTGGATTCTTTCTTTAAACCCTCCAGAATGGTTTCTTTTTCAGGGTACACCCACTTGCGTTTATGCCTTCCGCCAGGCACCTCCACCCATGGCTAACGGCTCACTTCCTTAGGCTTTTAGGGGCAGAAGGAGTTGAACCCGTGGCCCCCTGTCCGGGCTAATACAGTGCCCATTGCCCAGCCGGCACCCTCGGGAGGGTTCAGATGGAGGATTTTTGCCATTATTTTTTTTTTTAAATAATTTAATTAAAATTATATAATTTTATCATTAAAATTTTTTTCAGTGTCCTCAATCCCATTTTATTTTAGTTAAACAATGATAATGGTAATGTGGTACTATACATAAAAGATATTATAAATATATAGCTTATACCTGTTGTAGTGCTATTATTTTATTTTGTTATTTTTTCGTTTAGGTCTACCCATTTATTTCTCTATTATAAATATTCTATTTTTTGTTTAGCTTCAACTTCAACCTACATCGCACAATTACAATCAAACAATGACTTTATTGCTGAAAAAAGAAATAATATTATACCTGGAGGTAACAAAATAATTAGTTTTCATTATTCTCTGGTGTAGCCTTTTGGCTTTACGACTACTTTTCAATTTACGATGAATTAAATAAGAGGTGTAGCTATAGCAAAAATCAATGGAGCCTTTGGATGAAAAATGAAAAACCTTTGATGATATGTGTCTTTACCACTGAACAACATGTTGTTTTCTGTTTTCACTCACCACTTTGTTGTTACTCGATGATGTGTGTTGGTGTATATTAGGGGGAAAATTAGAAATTAATATAGCGAATAATCTTAATTTGTTTGTTGGTTTTCTGATTCAACTTTGTGTTTAAAATGTCTAGGATTATTATTAATATTTTTCAGTTACCTTTTTTCATATTTCAATTAATTTTATATATACATATTATTTATTTTTATTTTCTTATTGTGTTTACTTACGTTTTAATTTTGTATTCTCTACTGGCAACAGAAACTTTTATTGCAATGTGTGCGGCTTTAGTTGGTTTGCTAAGCGCCGACTTTTTTTTTTTTCTATCATATTGACTGCTCATATGCATACCATCACTACCGCTGTCTGCACACCTTTTACATGCGTATTTTAAAATTTTATTTCTTATCCGATTTGAGAGATATTTATTTCGCAATATTTGGTAACTTTAACTGCTGATATTTCGATATGGTTTTCCATAACTCTAGTGTGCATTCCAAATTGAACAAAGAAATCTTTACCTATCTATGTATTTACCTGCTAAATTTGCATGTTTGTTTTTTTTTTTCCGTTTTGAGGTCGGGTTTTTCTTATAAGGGGGGTGCACCGCCACGGTTGTACTTGCCGCTCAAACACGAACTTTGCCGATTTTTTTGACATCATAAAAAATATTTATTAAAAATGTTTTGCCGACGTTGTTTAGTACCTTATTTATTCTTGTGTGCACTTTATAAAATTTCCTCATAAAAAATATTAAATATTAAAAATGTTATGGCCGAATTCCAAGATCGTCTTTTTCCGATGGTGACTTTGCGTTGGTCATCATATCCGGCACAGTTCATCGAAATCAAAAATGAAACAGAATTTTCGTTGGTACCTTGTAACGCCTAGTAATATGACCATGGATTTGTAAGGCTTGTGAAAAAAAAATGGAGGCAGTTTAACAGAAAAATTTATTCTTTTTCGGTATAACATTTTCGATTTTTATGCTTTATAAAAAAAAAATTTTTCAAGAAAAGAAAGGAAAAATTCTTCGTTAGAGGACTAGCTATTGTTATAATAAATAAGTGGTCAAATTCGGTGTTGTTCGGTTCGGTCGTTTTTTTAGTAATCGTGTCCACCTACAAAGTAACTTCGAAAAAAAAAACGCTACTGAGATTGTCGCGTTTAAAGTTTCAAGTTTGTTCAAGCCGATGTGCAGGTCGTGCACTATAAATAGCTACAACTTCTGTTCTAATGCTCCGATCGTTATGAATTTTTGTGAGAATATTCTCAACAGTATATACTTGAAGAATATGAAATAAAAAAAAAAAGTCGATTTTTTATCATCACAACTGTATATAAGATTTAAGATTTTACATTTTAACTAGTCGTGTGTTTTATGAGTTGTTTTAACCCATTTTAATTTGTCACTAGGTTTTAAGGGTTTTTAATTTTTAATTTTTTTTTAATCTGCACTGTGTTTTACGTTTTATTTTTGAGTCACTTTTTGGTGGGTTTTTTCCGATCCAAGCTGCGGCGAACTCCAAATAAAGTTTTCCCCCAGCAGAGATAGCTGCTCAGGCGTCCTTTTGGCCGGCGCTGAATAGCGTAACCAATCTGCTCTGCTGCCTTGTTTAGCTGCAGCAATTAAATTAATTAATGTTGTGCAAACGAGCCCAGGAATTTTAGAAATATTTACCCAGTGCTTCCTTTTCTTGTATTTTGCTGCTCAATCGACCTAGCGATTTCTCAACGTGTAGTCGAAGAAAACAAGCGTGACCTACACGTGCAAAAATAATGTTATTTATACGCCTCTGTTTGGACACATTTTATTTAAAATAATTACCTTGCCGACACGGTAATCTTTGGCAGCCGGTAAATTGGCGTTTGTTGATGGCCTTTTTCAACCGATGCCGAAATATCAGTAGGATTAGGGTTCGGAGCACATGTGAATATGCTCGCCTCGTATATTTCTCTGCTGGGTTCGGGACCAACTTCTCAGCTTGACGATGCCAATGTAAAGATCGAAGCCAGAAGCTGGAGACCCGAAGAACCCTTCACCGATTTGCACATCGGTATTCACCAGCTGGTGGTTTCAACTGTCATTTTTAAGACGTTGCCAGATAAGGGGTCGATACTAATTATCGCTATTATTTTTAGGCGCGAATCATTTTAATTAAAAAAAAATACTTAAAAAGTTTTTATATGAGTCCATTACAACTTCGGACCCGGCTGAAATTGCCCCTAATCCTAAAAGACACGGAGATCAAAGAGGATCTGGCGCGTCTGGGACCTCACTAAGATGTCTGCTTAACTGCGTTGCAAACTTATGACTGAAATTATAATACCCTGCAATTATTACGGTGCCTGATATTTATACACATCATATAATAATTGGGTTTTGATAAAACTAAAAAAAAAGAAAGTTTAATAGTTAAAAGAAAACTATATTTTTAATTTAAATCTCTAATATAATAAACATTATAAATTTAATTTGTTTTTGTTAGAATCGACCTATAACTGATAAGAATTTGTAAAGTTCTTCAGACTCGAGGTCTCAAATCGGCTGTAAATTTATAAAAATCAAAGGTTCGACTTTTTATACATTTTACTGCTGAAAAACATAGTAAACAAGTTTTATTACATTTTACGTATACCGTACGTATATACGTATTAATCACAGTTTGACAGTTACAGTTTTACACTCCCAGATTTACATTTTTTTGTACATCTTCCGGTCGTTTCCATGGAAGCGTTAAGATATCGTCGTACGATTAAAAAAAATATATAACCGAAATTCTAAAATAATAAAAAAAATAAATATCTCAAAAATTATGAAAATATGTTTGAAAAACAGCCAACATTTTTCGATCATTTTCTATGGCAGCTATATGACTAGACTATATGCAAAGTTTCATTCAGATAGCTTTAAAACCGACGGACTAGTTTTGCGTAAAACGGACAGAAAGACAGACGGACGAACAGACGGACGGACAGACGGACATGGCCAGATGAACTCGGCTGTTTATGCCGGCCAAGAATATACATACATATATACTTTATAGGGCCGAAAATGTTTCCTTCATTGCGTTGCAAACTTCTGACCCTGCAAGACTATAAAAACTGTAACTGCAAAACTGAAAATACAATATCTATAATAATTTGCAATGGGCTTTAGACTCGAGGTCAAGTCGGCTTTTTTATAAAATCAAAGGCGTGACTTGAATATAATAAAATATTGCAAGCTTTTGCTGCAATTATAATACTCTATATAGTTTAACTCAATTGACTTTACACTACAAGGCAAGTTTTTTGTATGTAGCTAGGCGTTTAATGTCTATTTCAAAAAGTTGTTAACTAAATTATATATTCAAAATTTTCCTTTAAAAAATGTATAATTTTGTATAATGGAAAAGTATATAGAGTACAAATGCTGCAATCCGGCATCTAGGTATAACCATCTGAGATGCTCCTTATTGAATAACAATTAACTTTACTAGCCTCAGCACGTCTAGCTCAACAAAAATATTTTGTGATGGGGAAAAACTGTGCAATCCATGTGGATGTTATCGTTGCTGTAAGTCCGCATTTTTTAATGATCATACCTATTCTATCTTGAAGAGGATATGTCATAAGATAATACAAAATCAAAGCCGGCAAAGGTGTCGCGAAAACTATTCCGTTTTCGATGGTGGCAATAGCACAATCATTAGACCCGCATTCAAAGGACAACAAGGTTAATTCGATATATGACACATTTTTAGTTACAAATGTTCCTTATATAAGTTTTTTTAGATGGGACTGATCTATTTAATAATTGTATTCCGACCCAAAGTGTGTCACTCAAAAGCGGACATAGAGAACAAAAACATGAATATGTTCGTGTGCCTGACTTAAAAAGAAATGAAATTGGAAAAGCAATGCTGCATGGTATGAGAATATGGGTCAAAGGCAAAATAGTAAAAAGCCTTATATTTCGGGAGACAATGATGAAACTAATATTGGGAGGGAGACCAAAATGATACGAAAAGGGCCAATCCGCTATCAAAAGGAAATAAGAACGAGGGAGACTGTAACCAAAAACAATATAGATGTTTTGGAAAACGGTCTTAACAAATACAGCAAAGAAAACAATAACAAAGATACTTCAATTTTAAAAAAAGGTGATCGACGGACGGACGATGACAAAAATGGATCAAAAAAGTCAGCAAGGCCGAACAGTTCAGATAGAAATTTTTATAAAGATGAAAAATTCGTGAGAGATAAAAATCAAGGAAAAAGTGAAGGAAAAGATAGCAAAAATAGAGAGACTAAAGCTAAACAATTAAAACTTGAGAAGAATGTGGATCATGATGAAATGAATAAGAATGAAGAGAGTGAAAGAAAAGAAAAAAAAAGTGGAGAAAGTAAAGCTAAACAGGCGAATATTGAAAGAAATGGGGAGCAAGGTAAAATAAATAATAATGAAGAGAAGGAAGGGAAATATAGGGAAAAAAAAACACTTAAAGCACAAAAAAGCAAAATTGATAAGAATTTGGATCAAGGTGAAATAAAGAAGAATGAAGAGAAGGAAGGAAGAGAAAAAAAGAATGGAGAAAGTGAAGCTAAACAATCCAAATTTGAAAGGAATGTGGATCAAGATAAAATAAATAAGAATAATGAGAAGGAAGGGGAAATACAGAAAAAATAGAATATTTAAAGCAGAAAAAAAACCAAATTGAAAAGAATGTGGATCAAGGTGAAATAAATAGGAATGAAGAAGAAGAAAAAAAGATAGAAAAAATAGCACAAGTAAAATAAGCCCAACCAAAAATTATAATGTAGATCCAGGTAAAATAACTAAGAACGAAGAAGCTTTAAAAATATCTAAAAAATCGGGAAAAAGAAGGGAAAGCGGATAGGCGAGTTAAATCAGGAAAATGGCAATAAAAAAAGATGAACAGAAGGGCGGAAAAGATAATAAAATAAAAAAAAAGAAAAATTGATAGTAATGATAAGGACAAAAACGGCCAAAGTTATCAAGCTATGTCAAAGAAGCAAAATGCTGAAATCTTTGTCCAAAAGGATCTCGTCGACGACATGAAAACTCAGAGTAGAGAGGGCAAGCCCAAAAGAATTGCATTAGGGCCCACTAGTAAAAAAAATGCAAAGTCAAAATTTAATACGGGTTATAGAAAAAAGTAATCAACTTTTTGAAAAAGAAAGACATATTTTTAAAAAACGCATTACAAAAGGACAAAATTCAAAAATATTATCTAATAGAAAAAGTATAGTTCCAAAGGGATATTATTCATGCCGCGCAAGTTACAATCGTGTCGATATGTACGACCCTGTGATATTCTTCGTGTAAAATTGGAGGAGCGAGATTTGTCTAGATGGTATGTATATTTAAAAGCACCTATTATGATTTTGACAACCATATAATCACAGTATTGCCTGCTGTTTTCCGTTCCGACCATATGTATCTTGCAGTTCCTACCAATGTGGCTTACCTTGTGGGGAGTAGGATAGCAAAACTTTAATTCTTTCAAAAAAAGTGTGCTCAAAATTTTAGCTTGACTTACTTGTTATTGGTACCCAAATAAAAAAAAACGAAACAAATTTATATTGTGTAAGTAGTTAAATAACCCGGGTGACGGGACCTTTGATGTCGGTAAAAAGGGTAATAAAAATGCAATTAATGGATTAGCTGTCAAACTTAGAGTGGTTTAGGTAATTAAAATGCACTTAATTAGGGGGAGATATGAATCTGTCATAAGAGGGGGTAATAAAGATGGAATAAATTAGCGTCAGTGCATGTAAAAGGACATTTGAGATCAAGTGTTCAAGGTTCCCACAGGGATATGGATACGAGTGCGAATGCAACGGAGCGATCCCGGAAAGCGACCCCGGATCGATGCACGTGCACCGACGACCCCTCACTTAGAGCGTGAGGCAATTGAAAAAGGGCGCACCGGGGAGATCCTGCTCCGACCGGAGTGAGCCTGACCCACACGTGTACGTTTACCCACTTAAGGCAATTGAAAAAGGGCGCACGGCGGCGGTGCTGCTCCGCCCGGATAAGGCAATTGAAAAAGGGCGCACGGCGGCGGTGCTGCTCCCGCCCGGATATGGCAATTGAAAAAGGGCGCACGGCGGCGATCTTCCGTGTACGTTTACCCACGATCCTCGTTTGAAAAAGGGACGGGGTGGATCCTCGTTGGAAAAAGGGACGGTGTGGATCCTCGCTTGAAAAAGGAACAGGGTGTAAGTGAACAAGGGCGCCAGACGTGTACGTTCAGGCAACATCCACTTGAAAAAGGGACGGGGTGTAAGTGAACAAGGGCGCCAGAGTCGAAACATTTTTCCACCCACGACTCAGGACTGTGAATTTCCCTATGAGATACCTCACTTGAAAAAGGTCACTTGTATTCCCACTGAAGGGCCGCTGCTGAAAGAGGATCAGAGCAGTCAAATTTTCCCACCCTCATCCCACCTACACTAGATCAAGTGCGTGCAACAACCTGCTCAATTAGCTCACCAAAATCTGGATGGTGAAGGATGCACTTGTAACGGTTTCTCAACAGTCTGTGCAATGTGAAACACCCCCATCCATCCAAAACTCAAATCCACAGTCAATCTGAAAAGTAAAGGCTGCAAAGAAATATTCCATATCCCATTTCCACCATTAAAAAAATGCTGTCTATTTATTTTTGTTTAAATATAATTGTATTTTTTCAAGTATAATAATCAAAAGCGATGTTCCAAATTAACATACATTTTCATAATTTTTAATGATTTTTGTGAGCGGACAGTAAAGAAATGGCAAGCACATGTATCAACTGCATTCTCGACATTAACAACAACAAGATGTGAAATGTTGTCCATGAATATTGGAAACCAGCGGTGTATCAGCCATCCTTTTATAAAAATATTTGAGCGACTCCTCCAGATATTTCTCATGTTCGGGGAAAATTTGATGTTTAAACATTTTCATGAAATTAATTATTTTTATTACAAATTGTTGAATGCTATTACTGGTTGAGATGATGTCTTTGTTTTTTAGTGTTAGCATTTTGATGGATCCGTGTACGTCTACTTGCAATGAATTCAAAAATTTAAATTAAGTAATCCTTACCAAATTGTTAGACGATACGTTGAACCAATCCAGTTAATGGTGAGTATTCAACTAGTCGATCATGGATGAGAAGGCAATATGCCTTTGTATTTATCTCATTCGCAACAGTTAGCTCAGTGGAAATTTTTATATCAGTCGCTCCTGATTTGACACTCTCGTTCTGGTATGAGAGATCAACAACCACAATAGGAGCCTTCGACATGAATTATATCGGAGATAAAAGAGCTCGGGGTTCTCGATTGTAATAGCTCTCTTGAAATTTTGTATACATGTCATACAAGACAGCAAACCGATTCTCATTATATTTAACATTCAAATCCTCATAGGGATATACTTCAGAATTAAGATATACCTTTGCATTTCTCAAATTGTTTGCAATTAGTTCTCCATTCAATGTAAATGCAATAACAGCAAAACGTGGACGTTCTCTATTTGCAGACATCTTAACATTCCATATATGATGTGTTCCCTGAACCAATGTCGGATTTATATAACAATCCCAACTCCGGAATGCGAGTGGGAGGCTAGCTCCACTCTTTACTACATTAAACATTTTAATTTTACCACTGTCACTTGGAACGATGTGGGGGATCTTCCAACTTATACTATTTATAGCAATATTATGGATTTTTTCCATCAACATTTTTCACAAACATATCATCAGGGTTTTTCGTAAGTAACAGAACGAGCTCATGTTTACAGTTTAAGACGACTTTCTTATAGTCTTCAGCGAACCCCATCAACATTTTTAAAGGTACAGAAAAACTGAAATGTCCTCCAGAAGGGATATTGTCCCCGCCACTCCACCCCGCATTGCGATAGGCCGATCCTTCCTGTTGGCCGACTGAGAGAAAGTTCTTAATAGTCGTTGTTATTCCAGTAAACCGCGTCCTATCCAATTCACAACCATTCAACTCATATCTTATTTCATCCAGAAAATAGGCCATGCAATTACTTTTGAGCAAACCGCTAACGCCATTTGTACTAGTCGTTCCTGTATTTGAGTCAATAATTTTGCTAAGCGTTCCTTCAAAATGGAGAAATCTTTCACATGGAAGGACATACAAATCTTGGTTTTGCAAACTGATCCGTACTTCATCATTTGCTTTGAAGTTCTGCTGATATGGATAATATGAATGAAACTCTTTTTTAATAATAGATTCATCGTTAGTAGGCTTTTCCTGGACATAAAAGATCTCATTCATTTGAATATTAGTTGATAAACTTTATTTAATATTAAATCCCAACGATTTCAAAATCAATCTATTTTTTAATGTGAGGGCCGGGCGTTGATGTGAAGATGATGGTGCTTTCACTTCAGCTTTAGATTTGATAATGTTATCAAAGGATCGATGAGTACCCCTTTTATTGTAAATAATCATTTTTCTCGGTCGTAAGTGGAGACGGATTGATACAGTTTCTCCACGCAAATTAACTAAATCTCCGTCCTGATCAGTTATCCGTATCTCGAGTGTGCTTATTTCTCTGGTGTTCACAGACAAATAAATCAAATTTCGTGGTGTTATGTTCATTTTATATCCAGGGGGGACATTGATTCCAAATTCATGAAGCACATGATTTGATTTATGACCCGCTTATAATGTTGCATTCCAATCTAACAGAATTTATTTTTAAAATATTTACAGGATTATCCGAGATGTAAACTTCTTTCTCATGTGGTCTTAATTTTCGTTTAATAAATCCGAATAAACGACCATTTGATCGTTCATGATTAAAATATACGGTCTCATTTTTATACCCTTGCAGGGTATTATAATTTCAGTCAGAAGTTT